ATATTTCTTGATACTATTAGTCTTTGCATGGATGGTGACTTGGGTATGTTTAAAAATGACTTCCTTTTTTCAATTGAGCATGTTTGTTGGATATCTAACAGTTTGATGGGCCTTGCAGATGTGAGAATTTCGTATGCCAAAGTCCTTTCGGCATTTTTAAACAATGAAGGAATGCCCAAGGAACAGGAAGATACTGACTCCACACAGGTAAGCGTCGAAATGTTGCTGACTGAAACGTGCGCACGTATTTAACGTGTTATATTTTGTTATTATACAGCTCACGTATTTCAATCAGCCAGCAATACATTTCTTAAACACGCTTCATCTATCGTTGTATCAGTACGCACTTTCGGATATTGCGCAACCCGCTGATCACGTGGCATTGTTGACATTATTGCGTGCACTATTGGTACGATTTCGGGCAGATCAGATAATCCGCGGGATTCCCGTGGTATTCAAATTGCAGGTATAAAAATTAAACCTCCAATTAGATGTAATAGACCTTTCAAATATCTAATTCGATGACTTTTCACATGAAGTCCGAAGCCAAAGAAGAGAAACTTAAAGATTATGCTCACCAACGGACATTGGCAAGCGTCATCGCGCTTTATTTTTCCGATATTGCAACAGTTTTAGATATTCCGGAATTAAGAGAGTATATAGAAAAGGCTAGTGCTCAGTTATTGTGCGATTCAAGAGTTCTTGATTCTTTCTGTGATCTAACTTGATCTAATCTTCAATAGATTCAATCAGAGCGCATAGCAAAACGTCAATGGTCATCCTACATTAAGGTGGCTTCGTCCGAAAACAATCTAGATGATATAGGCTCATTTAAACCTTCTGAAGGTGAAATACCTAACGGGGATGATCATCCTCTACAACCAATTGACATTTGGCTTGATCGTCAAATCATTGTTTCCATGTTGTCTCAACATAAAGAATTTTCGGGCATTGACGGAAAGAAACTGGAAGTTGACCTTATGGCTGAATGGAAACCTGAAGAAGGTTTTGAAAAGGTTAAGAAAGAAAGATATCGAATTAAATCAAGTCGAATAGTGGAAAAACCATATATAGCAATCACACCTTTTATCATGAATTTGGAAGATAGTTCCGGTGATTTGCCAAAGATTAAAGTAGAAAATCTGAAAGATGCGCTTGGTAATAGAAGTTATCTTGATTTATTATTCTCGTTCCGAGCCTTGATATTAATAATTTAATATATTTAAAATAGTACAAGCAACAACAAACGACTCCTCTGAACACGACACGTCCGTAGCATCAGACATGGAATCAATAAACATGGTTCCATTAAATAACGGAAAGAAACGCAAGAAGAAACCGAAGACCGACATAAATGCATTTTTGCAATCAATAGACAACACCAAAGCTTCTAGGTATGCAACAATATTGATATTATAGATCTGCGTATCGTCATCTTTATTAAATGCAAAAAAAAAACTTTTCTCGCCTTCATAGTACAACAAGTCTGGTAAATGCGCCATACAGATCTTGAACATTATTTAACAGAACAACCTTGAGATCCGGTATGACACTTTTTCTTATTCCAACCAACTACCTTGAACATTTATTTTACTTCACCTTACCACCTTAAAGTAATGGTGATCCTAGATCTAGATTTACAGTCAAATCGATTATAGATAACATCTTTTTGGATCACTTCTGTGAAATCGAATAGAAAATGATGTTTAATTTTTATATTATTAAAAATTTACCATTTAACCACACTTTATAAATTCATGTTCGTCCAAGAAAAAACCTGAAAAATCGAGTGAATAATTTACTATAATATCAAAAGAGATTCGCACATATAACCACAAACTCTCATTCATTCATTAATAAATGATGCTTCTTTGTATGCCCATTCTCATAACTGAGTGGCGGTTAAAATTTTAACGAACAATGGTTTCACCACGAAATCCTGCGGTTGATAAACATAGATTCACTACTTCAAGCAAATGGGAATTTTCCAAAGCAGCAGCCACACGCTCTTTATCATTCAATTGTTTGTTAACTATCAAAGAGAAGATAGCATTTAGCATTGAGAAATAACTAGACAAAAAATTATATTATTGTTTCATTGATCACGCACCAGCTTGTTCGGATTGATGCGTCCCTTTCCTAACCATGATGTCAACTTTAAATCTTTCTGGTAAACTTCGTAACAATCTCACACGAATACATAACCCAATTAAAGTAGCCATGGAACAATGCGGTATGGTAGGGGTGAATTCGATAAGCACACGATTGTTCTTGTTATCAATTTTCACATGATCAAGCTGAGTAACATTCAATTCTTCGAGGGTTCAGAGGAGTCGTTTGTTGTCGCTTGTACTATTTTAAACATATTAAATGATTAATATCTAGGCTCGGAGCGAGAATAGTAAATCAAGATAACTTCTATTACCAAGCGCATCTTTCAGATTTTCTACTTTAATCTTTGGCAATTCACCAGAACTATCTTCCAAACTCATTATAAAAGATGTGATTGCTATCTGTGGTTTTTCCACTATTCGACTTGATTTAATTCGATATCTTTCTTTCTTAACTTTTTCAAAACCTTCTTCAGGTTTCCATTCAGCCATAAGATCAACTTCCAGTTTCTTTCCGTCAATGCCCGAAAATTCTTTATGTTGAGACAACATGGAAACGATGATTTGACGGTCAAGCCAAATGTCAATTGGTTGCAGAGAATGATCATCCCCGTTGGGTATTTCACCTTCAGAAGGTTTAAATGAGTCTATATTATCTAGATTGTTTTCGGACGAAGCCACTTTAATGTAGGATGACCATTGATGTTTTGCTATGCGCTCTGATTGAATCTATCGAAGATTAGATGAAGTTAGATCACGGAAAGAATCAAGAATTCTTGAATCGCACAATAACTGAGGACTTGCCTTTTCTATATACTCTCTTAATTCCGGAATATTTAAAACTGTTGCAATATCGGAAAAATAAAGCGCGATGACACTTGCCAATGCCCGTTGGTGAGCATAATTTTTAAGTTTCTCTTCTTTGGCTTCGGACTTCATGTGAAAAGTCATCAAATTAGATATTTGAAAGGTCTATTGCATCTAATTGGAGGTTTAATTTTTATACCTGCAATTTGAATACCACGGGAATCCCGCGAATTATCTGATCTGCCCGAAATCGAACCAATAGTGCACGCAATAATGTCAACATTGCCACGTGATCAGCGGGTTGTGCAATATCCGAAAGTGCGTACTGATACAACGATAGATGAAGCGTGTTTAAGAAATGTATTGCTGGCTGATTAAAATACGTGAGCTGTATAATAACAAAATATAACACGTTAGTTAAATACATGCGCACGTTTCAGTCAGCAACATTTCGACGCTTACCTGTGTAGAGTCAGTATCTTTCTGTTCCTCAGGCATTCCTTCATTGTTTAAAAATGCCGAAAGGACTTTGGCATACGAAATTCTCACATCTGCAAGGCCCATAAAACTGTTAGATATCCAACGAAACATGGTCAATTGAAAAAAGGAAGTCATTTTTAAACATACCCAAGTCACCATCCATGCAAAGACTAATAGTATCAAGAAATATTTCAACCGGCGTCTCGCATATCGTAATTTTTCCAATTTTCTGATACACCGTCTTACTCATTTGCACGACGACGTCCAAACACTTCAATAATGTTTTACGCAAATCCGACAGTGGAATCCCATCGGAGATGGAAATATCACCTTGTTGAGAGGAATCTGGCACGTCAGGCTGTAGACGTAAATGCGTAATAATATGCTCCATGATGTCACATATTTGATTTTCGTAATAAATGTGTGTTGCCAATCCACCTGTTTATATATATAAAGAGTTTTGTGATTTTAAATTAGTCACCAAAATAAAGAAAGAAATAAGGGATTAAAAAAGTTTATAAATACCAATGCAATCGATTAATTTTTTACTAATAAGCGCTTTGGATTCATTATCATTTCCTTCGCCATTTTTCAAAGAACCCAACAACAGTTGAAGCAAAACATCTAAAACTTCTAATGTAGATAATCCCACGAGGGCTAACTTGTTGGTCAAAATGGATGACAGCATTTCGACAAGGGTAAGCTTCTTTTGCATGGAAATTGAACCTTCCGGCAGAGTCTCAAGTTGCCGCGTAATGTTGGAGGCTAGAATATGACGACATTGTTGCTGTGGTTGTAATTTTTAGTTATCGGTTATTATATTAGACAATCAGATAAATACCCACGGTATAATTTACTGCATAAAATATATACCTGAAGGGAAGAGAGGATCATCAAGACCAGGCTTATACCGAAGGAACTTGGTGTCCACATATCATTTTCGTCTAAAAATTTGAATGTGGGCTCAAGCGAATAATGCACGTTGGAAGGATCAGACTTTTCAAATAATTCTTTCAAGCAATGGTACGCCAGATTTGTGTTTTCCTCTAACGAAATGGTGGTGACACTAAGGGAAAATCGACGTGATTGTGGGATGGGCTCATCATTGACAGGATTCAGATCTCTTAAAGCAAATCACGTTGAGAAATTAATCCGATGACCTCAATTTCGCAACCAAGGTAATAATGCTTTAATACTTACGCCTCTTGTAGAGCTTCTAACCCATCAGTTAAATTATATAAAATCGCCGGAATGATGTGTTGCAACTGCGTTCGAGCATTTGTTGTGTACAAAGCATTAGATGTAGCGGCCGCTCGAAGAGCATGAAGCCCAATAGACCGGTACCTATAAGTTGAAACAAGTTAGACACATAGCGTAGACGTGAACATTAAGATCTTATATAAAATACAGACCTTCGCTCGATTGTGGTGTCATGATCTTTGCACATTGCGTATTGAGCAAATGATGATATTAGATCTTCGTAAATCTGTGTGAATTCCACATCAACACCAAGAGTGGAGCCATCATGGTACGAGCAGAAGGTAATGAACTAAATAGTATGATCAGTATTAAGTTTAGTTAAATTTACAAATAATTAATTTGTTGGTCATGTATGTACACCTGTGCTTACCACCGAGGCAGCACGAGTAATCACATCAATATCATTTGCGCTTAGTGAAGCTGAAATAATTTTGAGAACATTCTTTGAAAATAAGTTCAGGTTGCTATTACATTCTTCCAGAAGAGCTTTGATGATTTGCAACGATATATCTGTGTCCCTGAGGTGAGCGAATTATTATATTAGAAGCAGTTGAAAGATCAATTTGTTCGTTCCGTCCTTTTCAACTTACTGCTTTCTTCGCTTGCGGACGTCGGTGGAAACCCTTTTATCCAGGTAGACACCGCACTTTGTAAGCTTTGCCGGCTTTGAATTTGCGTAAAATATGAGGTAAGAAAGTTCGTTTGATCGGGGGCCCTTTTCTTCAGGGCCAACCGGGTAACAGTTATTTATGAGAGTGGCATGCTTGATCCAACCTTTACAAACACTCGTGCAAGTCATAATCGAACGGAAAGGTTGTCTATTGATGTGAGCAAAAGGAAATGAAGGAAAGGTGGTAATTCTTTGTGATAAAAAGTGGATACTAAAAAGAAAAAAATAAAATAAAAAAAAATAAAAATGAAATTCTATTGATGGAAGACTTTGGATGTCAATTCGAAAAGCTTTTTTGGGGGTTTACTTTTTGAAGCAATAAATATCATGAATCTTGTAAGAGTGGTAGATTGATAAAGTGGTACCTGCAGTTTCTGCAGTTCCTGTCGCCCCAGCGCAAAACATTAAATTAATTTTTGAGTGATACAAAGGTCGATCCGATGATAGTTGTTCATTGGACAATGACACCAAACATTTATTTCCATTTTTGCTGAACCGCATTTCTTATAGGGGCACAAATGTGTTCGCTCGGCTACTTTTGAGGCCGATTGTTATCCCTTACTTTCCGACAGTGATCATGGTTATCTGTAAACTGTTGTGTTGCAATAAAAAAAAAGGAATTTTTAATGAGGAACTCGACGTGTGCAGGTGGCCTTCCTGAATAGGTTGATGATTGGTTCAATTACTTTTTTTATATTTCTTGATATGTATAAGGTAACCAGCAAACCGATATTCTTTCCCTCGACCATAAAGTTCAGTGAGATTTTTTTCTGATTGCCTAAATTTTCTTCGGTTCTCATTAATGCCCAAATTTGGAGCCATGATGTATGTATCAATGGTGAACGTTAATGATATAATGAGAGTGGCTTAAAATATTCTCATTAAATTACTTAATTTATCGCGTGTTTCGCGCTTGATAAATCGGGATATCACGTGGTTGTAATCTTCGTCCCAGACGTATGCGCATACATCGTGTGCACTTTTCTGCACGACCCTTTTTTTGATTGACTACGTACATTCTTTTGCTTGCTCTCGTCGCTGGAAACCTCTAAACGGATCATTCCTTATATGTAACTTTATGAAACTTTGCAGATTTTTTTGCTTTCATAAGGAGCGAACTAAAATCTATAATAGACCATGGAAACAACTAATTCTCAAGCAACGGAGCCTCTGTATGTTAGACAAGATTCTTCATCTGAACCTCGCAAAACCGTAACCTTCAACTTACCACAGACCAGTGCAGAATCTTCGAGTGTGCTCGACGATACTGCTCTTCCCAACGGTTATGGTAGCGTTAGTACTGAGGTGTCAGGTTCCCCAGAGGAATATGACGACCCTTTCCTTTTGGTTTCTCTAAGAGACCAAAAAAAACCGCTACCGAGGCCAAAATTTGTAATTTTATTATATTTAATAGCTTTATTGGATTTAGCCATTGTTTGTATTTGTAATTTATTTTTAATTCATAAAGAAAATTCTGATCGTTGGGATTGGAAGAAGGCGGAGTGGGATTTGGAAATATTGGCATTTTTAAGATTTTTTGTGGTAGTCGGAGTAGCTTCTTCCACTTGGTTTCAGAAATTGCGATGGATATTGGGTGGAGCTTGTTGTGTAAGTGTTTTGCCTGTTCACTCGTTCAAAGCGCATTAAAAATACTGACATGAATTCTGATCGCACATTTGTGAAATACTTTAACACGTATCCACTAGTTGTCCTCATTGTATATAATTTTCAAATCAAATTTCATGTTTCAACACAAGAAACCCGCCCACGGATATAGTCTTATCATAATCGCATCTTCATTTTTCTTTAGTCAAATACACTGGGTCGCAAACATCATTGTAACTACTGATGCGCGACGTCGTTCTTCATTCTTACGAGATAGTAGCATATACTTTGAGGAGGAAGACAGCGGCAATTCCGGGGTTTATGCTAGTGATGCATTGACCGACGGTCAGGCTGGTTCTTCATCTTTAAGGTTTTATGGCGCCACCAATGACGGTGGAGACGTTGATAAAGTTCCAATCGGTGTTTCAGGCGGTAAAATACCTCAAACTCCGCGGACCCATGAAATTTTTTGATCAACACGAAGAAGCGTAAATTACTTGCATTCAAACGTTTTGTCCAAATTCGGGATATTTACGTCGTTTATTTAAACCGATTATTATTGTACAATAATATAAATGAATGAATGTAACGAATTCAATCATTGTTTATTTATAAGTAAAAATTAAAGTGATGGTGATAAATCGATTATTTTTACATGCAAATAATAGTAACAATAATAATAATAATAATAAAATAAATTTGTGCATGCTTCTCAGAAAGACATTATTAATTCTTTTTATCATCATTATATCCTTCTTTGGGACCGTCATACGCTAAAAATGAATAATTGATAATTGATGTAAGCGCATTATAAGCGTCGGGGACTTAATACATCTTAGACCTTTGACCAACAAACCTGGTGGGGCGTCATCTGGATTCCAAAATCCACCGACAAAGCTGGCGGATTGTTGCGGTTGCTGTGGTTGCTGTGGCTGTGCATAGATCGGTTGTTGCTGTGGCGGTGGCTGCTGATATCCATATGGTGATTGTTGGGGAACCTGGCCAGGATTATAGAATGGCTGTTGATACTGTGTGAAAGGAGGTCGAGATTGAGGTTGAAATCCTCCTCCATACGGTGGATACACGTTGTATACCCCACCCATTGCCGGTGGTTGTTGATGTTGGAATGGAGGAGACATCATTTGCCCGCCGGCCAAGTTCGGGTCTGGTGTATTATGAAGGATCTCCTCGGTACTATCAGTTGAATTAACACTTGAAATTGAACGATTACCCGGATCTGACAATTGCGATGTGTTAACCGATGAGGTAAACTTCAATCCTGAAAGTTGATTCTTTATACTGGTAATCTC